CAATGGCGTGCCTCACCAAAGAAACTAAAATGAAACAGTATGTTGGGAATACAAATACCAAGAAGTGAAAGACAATCTAGAAGAAGAGAAGCCAAAAGCAAGAATGTTAAAAGAAAATGTTTAATATGCAAATAAAAAAACATGGATCTCAGAGATGAGGTGCACAGAGAAAATCTAAGAAACACAAGTCTTCCAGAAGAACAGGACAGGATGATGAAATCTAACACCATGATGAAGGACATAATAGAAGAGATATACCCAGAACTTCTGAACATTGGAAATGAATTTCTAGTTGAAAAAATTCATAGGTTGCCTCCAGGAAAAGTAAATCCAAAGCTTCAAACTCCTAGATACATAGTGCTTAAATTAACAACTCATTTCAGAAACAAGTTCTGCAACCATCAAGAGGAAGACCTTCAAATACAAAGGAAAGAACATTAAAATAAAGCAAGACTATTCTGTACCCACTAGAAAAAAGGAGAGGGATTGCACTGGAGTTCAAGGATGCAGCCCAGACATCCTGAAAATCTTAGCTTAACCATACAGGACAAAAGATGGACATTCAGTAATAAAGAAGAGTTGAAACATTTTTAAAAAGGAAAACCAGAACAGAAGAGATTATTTGCTTCTCTAATACCCAAACAAGAAATGTAGGAGTGAATAAATTCCATCAGTAACAGCAACAAAGTTATAACAAAGTGACCAGTAAGAGACTTCTTTCCTTTTTTTGGTTTTTGCTAGGCAATTGGGGTTAAGTGACTTCCCCAGGCATACAGCTAGTACATGTTGTGTGTTGTGTGTCTGAGACCGGATCTGAACTCAGATCCTCTTGACTTCAAGGCTGGAGCTCTATCCACTGTGCCACCTAGTTGCCCCCAAGAGACTTCTTTGTAAAGGTACACAAGGAGACAGAGTTGAATGCAAAAACCTGGTAGAGGTAACAGTGAAGAGGATGAAAGGAATCATTATGCACAGAACCTGGTAACACCTTGCCTACAAGTGAATGCTTCTTTTGTGGGACTACATGAAAAGGAAGAAGGGAACAAGGAGACAGAGAGAAGTTAGAAATGGGACAAGGTCAGATTAAGGACCAGCAATGAGTGGAAAGTGAAGTCAAAGAGAAGAGCCTACAGGGGAGTGGATGAGGAGGAGGGGGGTGAAGATTGAAAAGGGAAAGAAAGGAAGATCTTTATTTTGGAGTTCGGGAAGGGGGATTCCACTGATGAATGCTACCATTGGTGAAGAGAAATGAGGACCTTATACTAGAGGGAATATCTTCAACAATATGAAATACCCAAGCCATCAGAATGAGGAGGTATGAGCCCTGGAAACTGCACCCTCCTTGAACTTTCCTTTCACCCATGGCCAACTCTCTGGAATTCCCTTGAGGCATCTACCCTTCCCAGTAATCCTTTCAACTGGCCTTTCCTTGTGGCCCCAAGCCCAAACCTCCAATTCTCTATTACCTCTAACCTAGCCCAGCGCTTCATTGTCTGGATGGCCCCCAGCTACTTCCCACCTTAATTCCATCTAGACCCCCTCTTTGTTCTCACCATCTTCTGTATAAAAGATCCATCTTACCTCCATTAAAGTGCTCAGATTTGGTCTGGCCCACTTGTCAATATAAGTGTCACAATAGTGGGGATTCTTAAAATCTCACTGGGTTTTAATAAACTTTGTCTCTGTGCAAGAAGGCTTGAGTTGAATTCATTCCAGCCAGGACCGGTATCTTCTGCCCTTGAATTTTGGGGTTCCCAGCACCTCTAGAATGTAACAAGAACAGATAGAGGTCTCAAATATTTATAGCAGCACTTTTTGTGACCGTTAAGAATTGGAAACAAAGTAGATGCCAATCAATTGGGCATCTACAAATAGTGGTATATAAATGATATGTGGTATATAAACAAATTGTGTTGTATAAATGTAATGGAATATTACTATGCTGTAAGAAGTGATGGATGTCATGAATACAGAGAAGATCTGAAAGATCTTTATAAATTGATGCAGAGTAAAGTAAGCCCAGCCAAGAAAACAATATACATAGTAAATAGTAACTACAACAATGTAAATGGAAAGAATAACACACTAAAAAAATCAGAAATAAATGTTACAAAATCATGAAGATCAAGTGGGACTCCAATGAAGAGATGACAAGATAGGTGGCACACATTGCACATGTTTTTGTATTTTCCCAATGTATCAATCAATTATGCTGACTCGCCCCCCCACCAAAAAAAAGAAGAAAAAAATAGCCTTTGTCATATGAGATGGCTCTTGGGGAGGGGCACGGGAAGAAGGAGTGCATAGGATACCACAGTGATATAAGAAACAGTAAACATCAATAATTTTATTTTTAAATTCTGTTGTGAATTAAAAAAGGGGAGGATATTAGTCAAAACAGTTGGTATGTATATTTACTTGTAAAGGTTTTTTCACTCATAACCTTTCGGACTAGACCTATGATTTCAATGATAAATACAACTCAAATGTGGAAATCCTCTGCTACTGAAGATCAATACCTGCTCTGCAACTTCTAGCATCAGATATTATCCTGGAGCCCTGAAAGTTTAAGTAAACTGCTCAAGGTCACACAACCACTTTGTGTCAGAGGTATACTTGAACCCAGGGCTTTCTGAATCTCCCCAGACTCTATGCCAGCAGTTTAATTGCTCTTACTGCTTGGAGGAGATAAATCACTAATTGTATTCCTTCTAGTGAGATGGGAGACCTCTAAACATTAATTACCATCTGTTCTCCCGATGCAGCCTAAGGACTTACCTTCTGTCCTATGTCTATTCCCAGCAGAATCCTGGGTATTTCCTCACATGCCTGCTGATATATCCTACAGATCCTTGGGCCATGTCATCAGTCTTGCTATTGCCTTCCAACCATTTTGGGGGCTGATTCACTTACCCTGAAGCTCAACTTTTCATTTAGCGTCTTCTCCCCAATTAGAGTATGAGTCTTTGGCTTTCATTGAATGGCCAATAATAAGCCCAAGCCTCTTTTGCTCTTTGACTGGATTTGTTGGCTCAGAGTGAGTGTAAATAGCAGTTGTTTTCTGTTTTGTCCAGAAACCCTAAGGGTCTTTGTGTCCCAAGCTGATACTTTTGTGATGGTAAACTAGGCTATCTTTTGTCTCAATTATTACCTAGCCATTAGCCATTGAATGGATCATGGGGCTGCTGCCAGTTGTCTTGACTTTTGTCTGACCACTGGATTCGGATAACTCTGGAGGAGAGAGTGAGGTTGGTGACTTTGTGCAGCACTGCCTCACTAAAATCCGATTGACTCCCAAGTGAAGACATCACCTTTCTGCTGTCATTTGTTCTCTTCCAGGATAAAGGATAAACAACAAGAAAGTGGGAGCTCCTTGAGAGCAGTGATTGCCTCACCTTTCCTATGTCCCTAGTGCTTAACAAATTGTTTTTGTTCATTCATTCTTCATTCATTCATTCATTCATTCATTCATTCATTCATTTACTACCTTTCTGGCAATAAAACTTTAGCAGTCTCCAGTAAGGCTTGAATTGGCCATAAAGACTCTGGGAGGTCTCTTCTCAATTTGGGAAAAGAGGAAACTAATGCAATATAAAGACCAAAAAGGGGATGCTAGGTGGCATAGTAGATAGCACTGACCCTGGAGTCAGGAAGACCTGAGTTCAAATCCTATCTCAGATACTTGACACTAGCTGTGTGACCCTGGGCAAGTCACTTAACCCCATTGTCTATCAAAAAAAAAAGACTGAAAGGTGTGGGTTTTCCCCCCTATATAGCAGAAGTTTCAAGGCTCTCTTGACCTAAATAAACAACAAACCACCAAATAAACAACAAACAAATAAATAAATAAATAAAGTAAATTTAAAAATATCCGGCAGTCTACATGGGACCAGACCTGTGATTGCAGAGGAAAGTCTTTGGTGAGAAAATTACCCCTATTACTGCAGACTGGTGTCTTCTCTGAAACTTAATCTTAGAGAGTTACCTACAGAGAGCACTGAGAATTTAAGATGCTTGCCTAGGGTGACACAGGTTCTCTATTCCCTATATTGTGGAGCCTCTTAGCACCACATGGTAGAGGAAAAACTCTGTGTTGTGCATTTTACTATGAAAAGTGTGGGGTACAGGAAGGACTAGCAGGGATGGGGACCCTTCGACCTCAAGGCCACATGTGGCCCTCTAGGTCCTCAAGTGCAACCTTTTGACTGAATCCAAACTTCACAGAACAAATCCCCTAAATAAAAAGATTTGTTCTGTAAAACTTGGACTCAGCCCAAAACCCACACCCAAGGACCTGTAAGGCCACATGTGGCTTTGAGGCTGAAGGGTCCCCACCCCTGGACTAAGGGAAGTGTTAAATGACAAATAAGTGACAAAGATAGGTCAGTTTGGGAGCCACACAGGTTTGAAATTAGTGGATGAGAACTCTCCAGTCTTTGTTCAACCTCATTTTGTTATCATGTGTATAAACTTTTCACCCTGCATCTATGGAAGATGACAATGAAGAAATACTAGACTGTGAAATTAGTAAATGGTAAAATTCTTTTAAATAATGCCAGTGTTTGCCTTGTGTAATGCTTTCATTTATGAATAAAATGCTTCACGTTAATCAACTTACACAGCCTCCCAGATTTAGATGTATGTAACTGTAGCATGGAGAATATGAAGGGCAAATTTACCCAGGATAATTTTTAAGATCACACTGAAATTTTGCATGCTTTTACATATTGCCCTATCTACAGCTCCCTTCAGAATAATCCCATAAGAAAGAGATGAATCCTTTTTGATCGATGAACTGGCACATGCTTTAGTAGCATTCTGAATTGTGCGTAAAAGCTTGGAGGAGACATCAAGGTGCTTGTGAAACACTGTAAATATCGTTAAATACTGAATTTTCGTGTAGGAGACCAATCACTTTACATTTCTTCTTTGTTTGGAAGATGAAGCTGTTTTATTTTCAAAACCTGCCACATCTCTGAGCGTTTTATATTTGTTTTTAGCTGCTGATGGTCCCAACAAGCCTGTGAGTGGGTTTGCAGAAGACAGTACTAACTGTGGGCCACTGGATTTCCAAGAGGCTGTATCACTAAAGGAACGGATGGCGATGTATCAAGCAGCTGTTTCCAGAGGTGACAGCAGCAACTTCTCTGCTCATGTAAGGACTCCCTCCACGATTTAGCCTTAGGGGCTGATGATTTCCCTTCATATTTTTTCTTTGCATTTATAATACAGGAGTAGGATCATAGAAACATCAATGCAGATTTAAATCTTAGAGTTCACCTAGGACAACCTCTTCATGTTACATATGAGGAAAGTGAGGCCCAATGAGATGAGGTAACTTGCCCAGGTCATATAACTAGATTGTAAATAGGAGAGGTGAAATTTGAACCCATGACTCAGATCTAATGGTCTTTTTCACTTTACCTTTGTGACCTCTAGTAATGTACAAACATGGGTTCATGATAAATGCTCTAGTTAGGAAATTAAGGGAATTATTTCCAATTTTAATAATTTGGGTTTGTATAGTACCCCATATGGTCTCACAGAGATTTAATTTAAAGTCCCTGGAAGTATCTTTTCTTTTGCTTTTCTCTTTATGCATGAAATCCATTAGGAGTGGCTTAATCAACATAGAAATGAGAAAGATTAGCAATTTAGGTACTCTGCTAAACCAATTGTGATCATAGGAACTATGAGATTCAGTGCTACCACCAATATCTAGAACCAATGGCTAATAAAATCATATTCCAAAGGATCCTATGGGTCCCATCCTTGCTGGATGTTCATTCTAAGGAATTTGACACAAGTGGCATTTTAACAAGAGCAGAATGACAGGATAATGAGAAAAGTATGTATTGTTTTATAATTATGTTGTCAGAACAAGCAAAACCATATATTCAACATGCCAGAATATTTTTAAGTATTAAATGTATCTTTAATTGGGGGAGAGGGAAAAGTAACATATTTGCTCATCAAAGGGATTTTTTAAAAAATATCAACCCTTAGCATTCTTCTTATAACTTGTTTCCAAGATAGATATTGAACATGTCAAACCTACTAGTAATATTATGGTTATGAACAAGACTTATTCTGTTATCTTTGCATTTAAATATGATGTGTTTATAAGGGATGTTTTAGACATTAAATTATTAGAATTCTTAAATTGTCCGTTAAGTAATTGGCCTTTGCCTTTTGTCAGACTGCTTAGTAGCACCCCCTGCTGGATGATGATGATGATGAAATTACTGAAAGTTAATGTTCTGACCTTTGGGAAGAAAATAGTCAATTAGCAAGCAACTGTTTGGTAACTACCTATTTTAGTAGAAGAAAATTTGTTCTGGGAAACCCCTACCATGCTGAATACGAGGCAGAAAATGTCATAGGGCAAACTAATATCAGGAAAATTGTGGATCACCTATTCCTATAACAATCCAAATTCAATTTGGCTAGAAATGACTAGGTTTAGATTCAGAAGATCTAAGTTCAAATCCTGCCTCAGATAATTACTAGCTTTGTCGTTATGTACAAGTCACATCCCCTCTCTGAGACTCCATTTCCTGATCTGTTAAGATGAGTAGGTTGTGCATGATGACCTTTAAGGCCTCCACTTCTAAATTTTTGGTGCTATCATCCAATGACCCAAGGATGTTAATTCAATTCAAGAAGTGCTAGGTACCAAGAATAAAAAACCAAAACTAAATAGGCCTTGCCCATAAGGCACTTGCATCTCACTAGAGGAAATAACATATATACATACAGATGAATACAAAATTCATACAAAGTAATTTCTGGGTTGGTGGGAGGACACTGACAAATGGGAGTATCAGAACAGGCTTCTCATCAAAGTGAGCTAATGCTCTGGTCTGATGAATACAGCTATCTGTGGTAAATGAACCCTTTTTAGAATTCTTGGGATGCTATTCAACACCTCAGACATGTTTTTTCCCATGGTGTCCTAAAATACCTTGTTTCTGTCATGCATGTTTTTGCCTCACTCTCTTTATTTTGTGAGGGTTTCAAATCCCTCACTTAAATCCAATTCACTTGCATGTCATGGCATCACCTTCTTGATGTCATGGTTCTCTTCAAGAATGAAGAACAAACAACAAATGGAAATAGTGAGAAGAATTATTTTAACATACCTTATCTGAGTTGACTTGTAGTAATCCAGATTCACAATCTGAGTAACTGGAATGGCATCTTTTGATCAACTCTTCTGTTTTCCTATAAGAAGGTTGGTGTGATTGTGTTTATACCAAAGAAAGTTGACGTTTTGGTAATTTCCATCAAGCAATTGGCTCATTCCATGGTGGGGAAAAGGGAGGAGCCACACAGTTTATGTGACATCTCTGTCCCATTTTTTTAAAACAAGATTTGATAATTTTGTGGTTTAATGTAGCTCAGATAGTGAGTTTCAGCCTTGAACTGACCAACAATTTTTCAGTCATATTAAGACAACCAAGAAGCCGAGCATTACGTTGGATAGAATATGGATTTGGAATCCAAAATCCAAAAGTTCAAACCTGACTTTTATTCTTATTACCTGTGTTACACTAGGAAAATCATTGAAAATCTACATCACTCTGGTAACTCCCTGAGATTTTTCTACTAGAATAGAGGCAGTCTAATAGAAACATAGTAGAAAATTGTGTTGGATTTAGAGTTTGAATAGCTGGTTTCAGGTTTGGGCTCTGATACCTACATGATTTTGGGCAAGTTGCTTATGTGTCTCTGGGTATCAGTTTCTTCATTTGTAAAATAAGGAATTTGACTAGATTACTTTTAAGGTCCCTTCCAAATCTCTGTCTATGATCCTATGATAATCTAACTTGATGGAGAATCGACAAAAAAAAGTGAAATTGAAGTGAATTTGGTCAACTTCCTTAGTGTGCCATCTGCTGAAGGAGGAACAGAACTAGACTAAATGTATACATTGAAGATACATCAAGTTATTCTGTCTCCCTGGGGGCTGTGAATACAAGTGAACCCAATGATTTACATATATTATGTATGCTCTTGTAACTTTTCAATGTTCTTTTCCTTACTTAACAGAGTACTAAAATGTGTTTGCCATACACTGACACTTATTTACACCAGTAAACTTTCAGATTTGGAGAAACTTTTGTGAATTAGTTGTATATCCCGTGTGGATATCTTCACACTGTCCTGGTGCTGTTGGCTCACATTTCAAGTTCCTTGACCATTATCAAGACCTCATTGGCCTCCAGGAAATATAACATGACCCATTTAGGGCTTATCCACCTGAAAGTCATAATGCATTCTAGGACCAAAAATGCATTGTGCGTTTGAATGTGCCAAATGAAAATCCCACAAATCAAAAATCACCAGCTCACTTTTTGTTGTTCTCCTAGTCTCCTAAGGCTATATAAATAGGACCTCCCCAGTATGCCAGTATTTATACAGTGCTTTTGAAAGTGCCGCCAATAGAGGTAGCCATCTTACCACTATAATTCTGTCACAAGCAGCTTCACTGAAAGTGCATGAAAAGTCATCAAGAGAAAAGGAGATGGCCGTGGACCTAAGTCCACACCAGCCATGGCATGATAATCCCTGTGCCTTCTTATGCTTTTACAAGGTAGGGAGGATTTTGGAATTCTGAAGGCCATTAATACTTACAAATCTTCAGTCTTTTAAATGAATCAGGTAATAATCTCATAGTGAGTCAGCAAGGATTTGACAACTAATCTAACAATCTCATTGAGGGTTTATTTTTATAATTAAATCCATTACTCTAATGCCTACTAGTTTATATACTACTGCTAGATATTAAAATGTTATCTTCTGGGGAGTCAACTAAATATTCTAAGCATTCCTTTAACTATCAAAAGTCTTGATAAATGAGAGAAATATAGCAGAGAGACAACTTTAATCAGTGTCCTAGATAAAAGCCTACGAACTAATGGCACATTTTAACACTGTTTCAATAAACAGCCCATCAATAAGTGGTATCAGCTAATGAAAAGGAGAAATAGCTATAGTCTAGTGGATAGATGGCCAGTCTTGTAGTCATGAAGACCTGGGTTCAAATCTTACTTCTGACATTAGTGATGTGATCATAGACATGTTATTTAATCTTTCAACCACCTTAGCCATTTTGGAGACTAAGTTACAGATGAGTTATCGACCTGTTTCCTAGACTGATGGAATCATAGGTTCAGACTGATTCTACCATTCTAAAAAAAAGTATACGAGCTCCTTCCAAAACCAAGATTTTCAGCTTTTTTTTTCTTTCCTTTTTTCCTGTATCACCTTAGATGATGGAGGAGTCTGAGACTCGAACAGTGCCTGGTGGCTTAGCCAGGGTGAAGAAACAGTTTGAGAGAGATGAAATTGCCTCTTCACATAATACTTTTTCTCAGTACCAGCACCAGCAAAATTTGATCAGGTAATGCTACTCTGGATGATGAAACTGGCTAGGTAACTTTGGGGTGAAATGCTCTTATTCACATTCTTCATAAGAATCCTTTGGGATTAAAGAATTAACTTTGCTGAAGGTTATTCTCCATTCCATCTTTCATTCATTAACATTAGTTGCTCATCAGCAAAACTTGTAATTTATTTTTTAGAATTATGGCAGAAGATAAATTTATTTTTTAATTGAAACCTTGTACTGCATTTTTAAAGGATTAAGCTTTCTGGACGTAGCATTAAGTACCCTGTGCATGAATTAGCCAATCATAGGTTTAGAAGTGAAAATAACCTCAAAGGCCATCTGTTTCATTCAGTTTATCAATATTTACTTAATGTCACCCATGTGCAGAGCGCTGTGCTAGCACTGAAAAAGATATGACTAACTAACACGTGTTCCCTATTCTCATGAAGCATTTATTCTCAACAAATAGAACAGGATTTTCAGCTGCTAGCGAATAGGCACTGAAGGACAATTGAAGGGAGGGAAAAGTCCCAGTTGAGGCTCAGTTTCTGAGTCATAATTCACCATAGCATTACCTGGTGCCAATATCAAATTCATAAAACTTGAAAGGATGTTAAACCATTCACTTTTAGGACCTTGATGTTTTCCTAGGGTTAAATTTCATCAATTTCTTTAAACAGATTAAAAAATGTGGTATACAGTCACTAAAATCACAAAATGCAATTTCTAAGTGCTTTAGGTAGAGGGTGGTTTTGCATTTCATTACTTCATTATTACAGATCATGAAAAAATTGGTACAGGAGATAATGATTTTCAAATTACATAAGGGTTTGTGCAATAACACTCATGACATTATACATGGCACTATGAAAAATAATAATTACATGGTGAACAGCTACACTTTGTCTAATACTCTACCTGGAAGATGATACACAGAGATGAGCTTCAAATTTCACAGCAAGAGATAAAAACGACAGTTGAAACATTGCACATGGTCATTGTTAAATTAGAGGGCATCCTTTAATAAGTTCCTTATCCTATTTCTTTCAATTACAATAGAATCCATAATACTGATGGACAAAAGGTAATGGCAATAGCTTTACATGGGCCTATAACACCTGCTAAATTCCACAAGGATTCAAGATCATAGGATCATAAATTTAGAGCTGGAGGAATCTTGTCAGAAAAAGTGACTCAACACAAGATGAATCAGTTAAAATGTATTATTCTGTTAGTCAACATTTTTTATTTTTAAAATTTTATTTATTTATTTTTAGTTTTCAAAATTCATTTTTATAAGATTTCGAGTTCTAAATTTCCCCCCTCACTCACCGTCCTCCTCCTCAAGATGGCCTGCACTCTGATGTAGGCTGTACATATACAATTATATTATACATATTTCCACATTAGTCATGTTGTGAAAGAATTAGAACAAAAGAGAAAAACTATGAGAGGAAAAAAAAAGAGAAAATAGTATGCTTCAATCTGCATTTACACTCCATAGTTCTTTCTCTGGATGTGGATAGCATTTTCCATCATGAATCTTTTGGAATTGACTTAGATCTTTGCATTGCTGAGAAGAGCTAAGTCTAGCAAAGCTGATCATCACACAATGTTGCTGTAACCATGTAAAACATTCTCCTGGTTCTTCTCACTTCACTCAGCATCAGTTCACATCAGTCTTTCCACATTTTTCTGAAATCTACCTGCTGATCATTTCTTATGTGACAATAGTATTCCACTACATTCATATACCACACCTTGTTCAGCCATTCTCCAATTGATGGGCATCCTCTCAATTTCCAACTCTTGGCCACCACAAAAAGAGCTGCTATAAATATGTTTATACATGTGGGTCCTTTTCCCTTTTTTATGATATCTTTGGGATACAGAGCTAATATTGGTATTGCTGGATCAAAGGGTATGCACAGTTTTATAGCCCTTTGGGCATATCAACATTTTTTTAGATACCCACTCTAGGCAGAGCTCTGTGGAGTTGTACAAAAGAAACAGAATGTGCAATTGGATGACCTTGACAATTAGATGGCTTTTTATTTATACATTTTTCCCTGCCAAGTCTTAGTGAATATAACAATCAAAGTAGGTATAGTTAAATCCTAGGCCAAAGGTAGAAAAGAATTCAACTCTTAAGAAAAAAAAACAAGAAACAATCAAAACTTCCTGATTTTCTTATTATATGTTACCTTTTTAAAAAAATGCTTTTGCTTTGTTTATTTTTGGTGGTGATAGAGTAAGGTAAGGTGTATTATCTGTTAGTGGAGGATGCTAGCTAATTCTGTTTCTATTTAAGTTGTCTCTGCTCTGATTTCAGATTCACTGTTAAAAGTATTTGAGGAAAATTGCTCTGCCAGATCTGCCTCTTTCTGATTGGACATTCAATATTTTAAATTCCCTTAATATCTGATTAATTTGTGATACCAGATATGGGAAACATCCAGTTTGTTGACATAGAGTAATTAATATTAATTGGAAAGTCAGGATTAATTAGAGTTAAAAGCAAGAACATTTGTTTTGGATTTCTGACAATATTTAATGTCACAATTAGTAATAATTTCATAAGTTATAATAATTAAATCCAATCTGCCTCTTTCCTTTCTAATGTACTGAAGTCAGATGTTTTCAGGGTAATTAGCTAACTATTTTGTAAACACATGACTAGGAGATCAGCTATGGGTCTAAACAAGTTTAGAGAATTAATCTACCTCCAAGCTTAAAGATGTTTTCAGCTTGCCAGATGGGTTAAACAATTTTCAAATCCCTGAAAAAGAGTTCTAATGTGCAAAACTGAATGGCAGAGGAAAGTTGTAAAGTGCTTGACTTTTCAACCTTTGGAAGCTGTCCTTCACATTGCAGGCCTTTGTAATTCCCTATAATAGCATTTATCTAAGTACCCTTGAACCATATGTAACATCAACTGTGTATATGTGTATGTTTGCTTATATGTATGTAGGTATATGTGTACATATATAAACATACACATACCATATACATATATATGCACTGATTTAAGAAGTTGGCTTTTCTTGGTAAATCCATTCAATTCAACTCAACAAACACTGGACTGGACACATGGAGACAAACACCAAACAGACCGAAATCTTGTGGAGCTTGGATTCTACTAGAGAGATAAAGTCAGTCTAGTTCAATTCTCTCATTTTATAGAATCTCTGGACATCCAGAAATATTCCATGATTTGTCTAAGATCAGACGGGAAGTTGGAGAGAGAAATTTTGAACCTAAGACTTCTAACTTTAGATCCAAGGCTCTTTCCATCAATGCTTCCTCCATGTAAGCAAGCACAATGTAATACAAATTACTTTCAAGAGGGAGAGAGTGTTAACAAGTGGGTAAATCAGGAAGAACTTCCTGTAGGAAGTGGCACTTGAATTAAGCTTTGAAGGAAGCAAGTTCACAGTTCTAAACAGTTTAATTCATCATATTTAAATCAAAACCTCTACTTTGTAAGAGAAATCTCTAGCCAGGACTAATAAAAACTCCATGAGCTTTCTTCCTGACCTTGTCTGGAACTTCAGTATCCCAGTCCTTGATGTCCATTAGTATAAGTAGGCTCCAAAAGACTGGAATGAACAATGCATTTGAAAGGCTCACTGGAAGAATTTTCTTGAAGCCTTCAGATCAACCAGGCTCAAGTTGAGGGAAAAGAAAAGGTTTTATCAGTATCAGACAGTCTCTTATTTGTACAGAGGATTCTTTTTTGCTCCACTCTAAAAATTGTACCAATGCTGGTCTGAGATACATTCTGAAGCATTATCTTAGAATAAATGTGTTACTGGGACAAAGCTGTCACCACTTCATCCTCTGTTTAATTTTCACTCGTTCATGTGATGTTTTCCCCTGGCTTTTTGGAAATTTGCTTAGGTATATAGCAGATTCTCACACTCAGGATTTGACATTCAGCTTCTCAAGTGAATGTCTTCCTTACTGTCTTCTCCCAAACCTTTATGCAAATAAGAAGGAAGACATTGCTTATACATTTTGACATCCTAGAAGCAATTTTTCCCCTATTTTTTTTTCCAAAGAGGTGAAACAGGAAAGAACAGATGGGATTCCAACAAATTTGGATATGTTCAGGCATTTAGGTGCAAAGCTCTACTTAGGAAGTTGCTTTCATATGAAAATTGCTTCCCTGACTGCATGTTAGGAGTCTGACCTTCGCTCTCTGTTGCCATTTCTGATGTGCAGCCAGTGGGGAGTTGCTTGACAGTATGTGTTTTTATACATGCATCTGCTGCTGCAGAAATACTAATGTAAACATTAGCACTTAGTAAGATTATGTGGATTTGGTGCAATCCCCAGAGGATTTTAGGTCAATAGAAAATAATTTTGACAGCTTGTGACAGATATAATCTGACATCTGTGTGTAGCAGACTCTTTAAAGATGACCCATAAATATTTTTTAGCAAATAATATATTTTAAACCCTAAATGCCCTCCCACTCCCACCCCATGGCATATGAGCATTTTAAATTTAACCTTTTTTTTTCAATTTGGATGGGTCCCCTTTCACCCCAGCTCTCCCCAGTTTTCCCCATAATCCTTATCAAATTATAGATGGTCTTAGGCAACTCTACCATACATTATTCAGATCTTCCTCAACATAGAACTGGACCAAGAATGGTGCAGAGATTTTTGTTCTTAAATATACATGACATTAGATTTCTACTTTAATTTAAAATAAATGTTCTTCTTGTAGAACAGAGATGGCACAATATCTTCTGTACAGTATATAATTTTTTGTCATATGATATATTTTGGCCAAAAAAAATGACAAAAAAAGAAAAAAAAAGACCATACCTTATATCATGCCTCTGCCTTTAGTCTACCCTTCTTCCCCAAATTATATGATCATTAGCAATAGTATTATGCTCTTTTGGGAGGCCTCTAGTAAAGAAAGATAAATTAAAGGTGGCCATACATGCTAGAGGAACCTTTTTGCTGTTCTGGAATATTTAATCATTTTAGTTCAGTTTTCAAAGATACATTTGAAGGTCATCTTTCATAGGAAGTTTTCTACAATCCAGCTCTCAGAAATGTCAGAAGGTAATCAAGGACCTCCTGGAATGCATGAGTGAAAGAATATGTACGAGAGCCAATTTGACAGTGCATTTGGGAGCTTTAGAGTGCTATTCTGAATAAAGGGGGTGTGTTTAGAAAAAGGAGAAAATGGATAATATGGCATTTAGATTTGAGAACTGCTATATTCAGAATTTTTTTTTTTGGTCTGGCTACACTATGTAAGAAAATAGTAAAATTAGTATAGGAATCACAGCAAACATAAGAGAAAAGGTGAGTTATCATTTAAATAAGCGAGGAATAGTGTTGAGGGACACTGCCTTTTTTTTTCTTTCAGTTCTAAGGAATTGTAGTTTCTCAGCATTATTTTTTAGATACACTGAGGTTCTCAGTAGGGGGAGAAGAGAGACCGCTGGTTCATAAAATTGGTACAATGAGCATACATACTCTTCTTTTGCAGTTTCTAAGGAAAAACTCTAACAATATGTTGCTATCAATATCCAGGAAGTCATTCTAAAGTACTACATGCAGGACACTGCCCTAATAGCTAGTAATGCAAAAATAAAAGAGAAACCAGTCACCAAGCTAGAGCAGCTGACATTCTGCTTGGTGGAAGTATTTTTTGGAAGTGTTTATAGACATAAACTTGGGAGGGTATTAATTACTTTTTTTAGTGGCAGAGAGAGAATAGGAGAAAGAAGGAAGAAAAAGGAAGCTAAGATAGTTTAAATAATAAGTAAGACCTGTCTGCCATGCTATTTTATATGCCTCAGAATAATAGGAGATGTGAATCTGTGAACCTTACCCTGAGAGAGGGAAAATACAAATTAAGGTGGGATAGGAAGCATCATCAGCTTCTCCTGTCCCATGTAGCCCATACAGCCAATCTCTCTTTCAAAACTATAGATCTGGGTTGCAGATTGCCCTCAGCTGCAACATGCCAGAGGCTGTTCACCTAAGAAGCTGTTGGGGGAAGGAGGACAATTTTTATTCTATGGGATTTTCTCCTAAAACTAAGATGCAGTATAAAATGAGACACCACTTTACTTTCAGAAAAGGGGAGCCTGTTTTTTGCTGGAAATCTGTTATCATTTCTCAAAGGGAAAAATCTCTGGACTGATTTTTTTTTTAAGTTTCAAGCACTGAAACTTAATGCAACTGATATTTATTACATTCCGTGTTGGGCATTAGGCACTTGTCTGGTTACTGGGACAGATACAGAAATAAGTATGGCACAAATTCTGTCTTCAAGGAATTCACAGTCTACTGGTCAAAGATGGCAGATAGAGGTACTTAATTCTTCTTACCAGTGAGCAAGTTTTCAACATTAAGCAATAGTAAGAATGTTCTGCTACTTCTCTTTCCCAAATCCAGAGGCCCAACTACCTTTTCTCTTCAGATTGTCAGTCAATAGGTATACATTTAGGTAAAAAGTGCATGATAAAATTTACTTTTCATTAATGCAGACTGGAATCTCAAAGACCTAGGGACTTAAAGGTGATGACCTCTACCAATTATAGTTCATACAGTGAAATCAGTAAAAAGCTTTTAGTGGACTAGAAATCTCCATTAACCACAATGCCCCATTCCTGAATGATGCTAATAGAATTTGTTATATTCTGGCAGTTTGGGTTTCCTTCTCAACTCAGTTAAATTTGGCCAACATGCATGAAGTGCCTTCTCTGTGCAAGGTTCTGGGTAAGGCAGTAAGGATAGGAAGACAGATAAGGCACAGATTCTGCTTTCAGGAAGTTTATAATCTAATGGGGTGGTGGGAAACATACTTAAGTAACTAATACAAAAGAGTGCATAGGCAAAGCAGTAATGAGGAGTTAGAGAAGGAGAGCAGGTAACATCTAAGGTGAGGCTTGAGTGGAGTTATCCACTTTAGCAGACAGAGAATCAGGAGAGCCATTGCAGATATGGAGCACAGGTTATAGAGAGGTAGCAAGATGGGAGGCATCGGGCAGCTAGGTGGCACAGTTAATAGAGTGCTGGCCCTGAAGTCAGGAGGACCTGAGTTCAAATCCGGCCTCAGAACAAATACTTGATACTAGTTGTGTGACCCTGGGCAAGTCACTTAACCCCAATTGCCTAAAACAAAAAGAAACAAACAAATGAAAAAAGAACCTTCCACCACTCAAGAAGCCTGATACAGGCAGGCCTAAAAAAGAAAGTGAAAAAGTAAAACAAAAGCAGCAAAACATGGGAGGCATCATGGCCCAGTGAAAAGAACACTGAGTTTGGAGTCATTAGACATGGGTTCAAATCCCAGTTTTGCCACTCAGACAAAAAAATTATTTATTTTTAATGATTTTTTTAAAATTTTGAGTTCCAAGTTCTCTCCCTCCCTCTTTCCCACCTCTCCCCACCCATTAAGAAGGAGAGCATTATGAAATCAATTACGTAAGTGAAGTCATGCAAAACATATCTCCATATTAGCCAAACATAAAATCTTGACACCTATAGATCTCTTCTAGGGTCTCTTGCAACTCTAAATCCATGCTCCTAAGGGGGTAGGATGAGAATATGTAATTAAAGTATATAAAGGAAAATATTATGAGATAAGATCCAGAATGTAGTTTAAACTAGATTGTGGAGATCCTTGAATGCCAGGATCAGGAATTCACACTATATACAGTAGGCAGTGGAGATCAATGGAAAGTTTTTCAATTGAGTAATGAAATGGCCAGACTTTATTTAAAAGATGACATAGTTGTTGGTAGAAGTTACTGAGTTGGCTATTTTCTGTAGTGTTGGTTTCTCCATTTAAAAAAATAACATTTTAAGATTTACAAAGTATATTCCTAGAGTAACTCAACAGAAATCATGGTATGGTCTTTGCAGGGTTACTTCAAGCACATTCCTTCTTGTTTGTGTTTTCTTTTCTTTTCACAAATGGTTCAAAGTTTTATGACCCTGCCATGTTAAACTGAACCTCACACCAATGAGTGGAGACTTTCTTTCTACAGAAGTAGAATATATTGAATATTTGTTAGTTAATCAGTCACAAATTTACCTCCATCTAGAATCTATCTGGTTCAACAGAAAAAGGCAATGCACAAAACCCCACAGAAGTGATTGGACTTGGAGTACCAGTGACCCCTTTGGCTTATTTTCTGCTACCCTAATTAGTGCAATTTTCAAGTTAATGGTCTATCTCTTAATCAGTTCAGTTCTCTTTGTACCTGGAAAGTCATATTTTGTAAGGACAGAAGTGAAAATAATTTTCCATCTCTCTCTTTTTCCTTTGTATTAACAAAAGAAAAAAAAATGATTCTATTTTATGTAGGAAATACACCCTGACTTCCTGACTCACTATAGATATTATATTCCTATATTTCTTTTCAAATATGTAGGAAACCAGCACCTAAAGAATCAATGGAACTGGAAGCATGTCCCCAAACACATCATAAAAATGTATATATCCCAGCTAATAGCCAAAACTGAGCAATTTATCTACAGCAGGGAACAAGAGTAAACTAATTGAAGAATTAATGGCTCCTCTGCATATTGTCAAGGCATAACATTTATTTTAAGTTCAGGAGCTTATCTTGATGAGGACCGTTGTAGTCATAAGTAAATTAGAGTGTATTTCACTTTGCATATTTCTTTTCTTATCATGAAATTGGTTTCAGTGAGTATTTCCCTGTCTTGAGACCTCTAAGCTTAAGATTGTTTAAACTAACAAGTGATTGGTCTTCACAATATAACCATACATTTTTTCCTAGATATTTTTCCTAGATGTACTGCTTGTTCACCTATGCAATAAGCATAGGTTCACTGTTCACTTTTCATATGTGTGTATAATTATATATATGCATGCACATATAGTATATATGAAAAAATATATTTGTGTTTATGTATAATTGGCAAAGTAGTAAATTGTGGTAATATGTACATTCCCCTTTTCAATCTAATGATGTTTTAGACATCCTAACAGCAGTGGCTTCAACCACCCCTCCACAAATATCTTTATCTTTATAGTTTACATCTCTGATTCTAACATTTCTTTTTTAATAGTATTTATTTGTTTCCCAATTATATGTCAAGAAAATTTTTAGCATTTATTTTGAGTTCCAAATTTTTAAAATTATTGGCGATTTGATATAAGTTATACAGGTGCTATCATGTAAAACATATTTCCATTTAGTCACAGGTGTAAAGGAAGAAACAGATCAAAAGGAAAAAAACCCCACAAAAAACAATAAAGTAAGTGAAAAAAGTACACTTTGATCTACATCCAGAGTCTATCAGTTCCTTATCTAGTTGTGGATATCATTTTCCTTAGTAAGTCCTTTGTCCTTGTCTTGGATCATTGTGTTGCTGAGAAGAGCTGAGTCATTCATAACTGATCATCACACAATGTTGCTGATACTGTGTAGTGTTTTCCTGATTCTGCTCATTTCACTTTGCATTAGTTCATACAAGCCTTTCTGGGTTTTTCTGAAATCTTTCTGTTCATCATTTCTTATTGCAGTAGTATTCCATTACATTCATATAACACAGCTTGTTCAGCCATTCCCCAATGGGTGGGCATCTCCTCAGTTTCCATATTTTGCCGCCACAACAAAAGCTGCTATAAATATTTTTGCACACATAGGTACTTTCCCCTTGTTTTATGATCTCTTTGGGATACAAACCTAGTAGTGGTATTGCTGGTTCAAAGGATATGCACAGTTTGGTTGCCCTTCGGGCGTAGTTCCAAATTGCTCTCCAGAATGGTTGGATCAATTCACAACACTACCAATAGTGCATCAGTGTCCCAATTTTCCCACATCCTCTCTAATATTTATCATTTGTCTTTTGGTCATATTAACTAATCTGATAGGTATGAGGTAGTATCTCAGAATTGTTTTAATTTGCATTTCTCTAATCAAAAGTCATTTAGAGCACTTCTTCATATGCCTAAAACTACCTGTTCATATCCTTTGACCATTTTTCAATTGGGAAATGGCTTGTATTTTTATAAATTTGACTTGGTTCTTTACATATTTGAAATGAGGCCTTTATAAGAGACACTTACTGTAAAGATTGTTTCCCAGTTTTCTGCTTTCCTTCTAATCTTGATGGCATTGGTTTTGTTTGTGCGAAAGCTTTTTAATTTAATATAATCAAAATTATCTATTTTGCGTTTCACAATATTCTCTATATCTTATTTGGTCACGAATTCCTCCCTTCTCTATAGATCTTACAGGTAGACTATTCCTTGCTCTTCTAATTTCATTATGGTGTCACCCATTATGTCTAAATCATATACCCATTTTGACCTTATCTTGGTAGATGGTATGAAATGTTAGTCTATACCTACTTTGTGCCTGTTTTCCAGTTTTCCCAGCCATTTTTGTTAGTGATTTCTTATCCCAGAAGCTGGAGTCTTGGATTTATTAAATAGTAGATTACTATAGTCATTGACTGTTGTGTCTTGCATACCTAACCTATTCCGCTGATCCACCATTCTATTTCTTAGCCAATACCAAGTAGTTTTGATGATTGTTGCTTTATAATACAATTCAAGATCTGGTACAGGTAGGCTGCCTTCCTTTACATTTCTTTTCATTAGTTCCCTTGATATTCTGGACTTTTTGTTCTTTCAGATGAATTCTGTTATTGTTTTTTCTAGCTCTATAAAATAATTTTTGGTAGTTTGATGGGTATGGTGCTGAATAAGTAAATTAATTTAGGTAGAATTGTCAATTTTTATTATATTAGCTCAGCCTACCCATGAGCAACTGATATTTTTCCAATTATTTAGATCTGACTTTATTTGTGTGAAAAGTGTTTTATAATTGTGTTCATATAGTTCCTGGTTTTGTTTTGGTAGGTCGACTACCAAATATTTTATAATGTCTACAATAAATGTAATTTCTTTTTCTATCTCTTGCCGCTGGACTTTGTTAGTAATATACAGAAATGCAGATGATTTGTGTGGGTTTATTTTCTATCCTGCAACTTTGCTAAATTTGTTTATTATTTCAAGTACTTTTTTACTTGATTCTCTAGGATTCTCTAAATATACCATCATATCATCTTCAAAGAGTGATAGCTTTGTTTCTTCTAATTCCTTCAATTTCTTTTTCTTCTCTAGTTGCTACAACTAACATTTCTAGCACAATATTGAATAGCGTTGGTGAAAATGGATATCCTTGTTTCTCCCCTGCTCTTATTGGGGAAATGGTTCTAGCTTATCCCCATTACGTATAATGCTTGCTGATGGTTTTTTTGATAGATGCTATCTATGATTTTAAGGAAGACTCCATTTATTCCTACTGTCTAGTGTTTTTAATAGGAATGGGTGTTGTATTTTGTCAAATGCCTTTTCTGCATCTATTGAAATAATCGTATGATTTCTGTTAGTTTTGTTGTTTATATGATAAATTTTTTTGCTCATTTTTAAAAGCTGAACTCTGCTCCTGCTGTATAGGGGACATTGTCCAAAGCTTCTTCTGCTAGGGGCCTGGGGCCTGGTCACTGGCTTTTCGTGCTTGTGGCTTGTCCACTGCACTGGGATGGCCCAGCATTGTCACTCCTGTTTTGCCAGGATTCCAGGGCTGGCAATTTGCTATCTGTGCTGGGGCTAGAGGCCTCACAGCTGGCTTGCTGTGCCCCTAGCCTGCTGAGCCAGGATTGAGGGGCCTTGGTTACTGGTCTGTACTGTGGCTAAGAGCCTCCCCTTGGCTTGCCCAGACACCATCTGCAGTGGACTCTACTCCCCTTTAATCTAAGTGAGACAGACCTTTTTTGAAGTCCTTCTCAGTTATCTTAAGCTGGAAAATTGTTTCACTCTTTTTGTGGGTTCTGTTGTTCCAGAATCCATTTAACATTGTTTCCAAGGGAAACTGGGGAGAACTCAGGCAACTTCCTGCTTTCTCTCTGCCATCTTCTATAGAACATGTTTTATACGATTTTTAAACTCTTTTTTTTTTTAGCTCTTCCATAAGTTCTATGTGGGCCTGAGATCACTTCACATTTTT